TGTATTCCCAAATGGCAATTTCTTCATATCATTTATGACCTCAAAAACCTACAAAGACTTCCCACTGCGCAAAGAATCAATTCTAAGGTCTTTGGCTTGGTACCCAATGCTGTCCATAACCTGCTCCTTCTTCCCTATTTAAAATGACCTCCTCTTGGGGCTGGCCCCATGGCCGAGTGGTTAAGTTTGCGCGCTCCGCTGCAAGCGGCCCTGTGTTTCGTTGGTTCGAATCCTGGGCACGGACATGGCACTGCTCATCAAACCACGCTGAGGCAGCGTCCCACATGCCACAACTATAGGGACCCACAACGAAGAATATACAACTATGTACTGGGGGGCTTTGGGGAGAAAAAGGAAAAAACAAAATCTTTAAAAAAAAAATGACCTCCTCTTATTCCTTTATAGTCAAGCTCATCTATCCTTTGTCTCTGGAATGTGTTGTTATCATTCTCATCAGCAGGCAAGGGAAGGAAAATACCATTAGTTTTCTTCCTGGCACCTACTATATTCCAGGCATTACAATAAGCTCTTTCATGTCTTTCCTTTATTAAATCCTCAAAACAGACCTATGAGGTAAATAATCTCATCTTAGGATAACAAATGAGCCTTGAACCAAATCTCAGCATGTTGGTCACACACCTGCTAAGTGGTGGAGCTGGATTTGCACTGAGACTCTTCTCACTGTAATATCCGCCTTCCATATTCTGAGCTTTTCTTTCTACTCTTTCCAAAGCCTAGAAACCCTTCAGCCTCTGTTCATGGTCAGCTCCTATCCTCCTTCCTCTATGAGACATCCCTAATTGGTCCAGCCTACTCTGTCCCTTCTCTGAACTTCACTGTTACCAATTATCCTTACGTTGTATCACCCTTTACTGTTTCATATTGACCTGTCTTGTCATCATTCACTAGAATGAAGATTCCTAGAGTACAAGAAAATGACATTTTATTTTATTCTCATTAGATCTACAACCCACCCTCCAGATCCAGCACAGGATAGGCCCTCAATAACCATGAATGATCATAACCACATATGCTAGGTTTAGCCCTTCAACACATAACGTAATATACATACCATATTAACTATTATAATTATACTAACATATGTAAAACATTTTAATTAAGTGATGCAATTCAAGTTAAAATAACATTACATATTATTATCAATTTGAATGTTCCCTTTCCCTGTTCTGTGTCTGGCCCTAAGGAAACTAAAATGAGGTTGTAAAGAGAGAAAGAAAGATTATTATTATTATAAAACATCATCTAGTAAACTTCTATATATTAAGTTACATGTCCAAATGATTAAGGAAAATGTTTACTCAAAAAATTTACTTATAAATTATTTATGTTTATACTAATAACATTTTGCATTTTTAATTTACATGTTGTGAATTAGAAATAATTCTCACATACTGGAGAGATAGAACATACTTAAAACAATTTAATACATTGGGATGCTATTCATTTTGCACCGTAATACTGATAAAAGATAAATTAAGTTTTTAACCAATAAAATGAAAATTAATTTCTCTTTGTAGAATATAAAAGTTTAATATTCAAGGATATGAATAAAATTATATACTTCTAACACTAATTTCCGTAATTTTACTTAATAAGTGGACAAGAAATGATTAATGTTTGATAAAGTTTAGACAATAAATCACAATGGTTTGAAATAAAAACATTTTTAGAAAACTTGTGAGAATCAGAAAGTTCTGACTGAATTAGAAACTAAAAAAATATAAGGGCTTCATAAATAAAGAACTATTAAATGGCTTGATATCTTTTTTAATGCAAATCAATTTATCTTAAAAAATAGTAAAATATCTGATAAGTTTGTTTTTGAGGTCTGGATTAATATTTTTATAATTTCTGATATATTTACATATCAGGCTGATCTTCGCTCTTTTGTATATTTACATTAAAAACTATCACAAAATGCTTTGCTTCCAGCGTTTCCTTTTTATAGTCAACCATACTTTATGACTGCAAATATTTCTCAATGAATTAATGCTCATTTTTATCACACATATCCACAATAACATTTTATGTCATTTCAGAGCCTCAGTTGAAGAAGAAAAGAAGAGAAAAAAGAAAAGCAGACTTACTCTCACATTCCAAGTCACCACATTTTTTCCAGCCGGCCAGCAGTTTTGTGCTCTCCAGACAGTTTGTCAGAGAAATAACCAAAAGGAGGATTCTGTGGACTCCCAGCTCCGCCATGCTACAACAAGCAGGAATCCCAAACAAGGCTCAAAGCGATTGCTTGGACTGCAGACACGCCAGCTCCAACAGGAGATTCCCCACTCTCTTCACTAAACACAACAGAAAAAGGTTTGGGTTTTTTTAAATCCCTTGATAACTATATTTTTCTATCAGTGTTTAGGCTTAACTTGGGACAAACACTCTCTGTTCTCAATCTGCAGTGTCAGGTGTCCAGATAATACCTAAGGGTTTAATAATTAACAGGGATTTTTAGTCGGACTCACGTCTTACAAAGGTGGCCCATGTAACACTGTCTCGCTTAAAGGCACCTCGCTTTGGACAGGACAATTCCTAAAACAGGCCTCCACAAAAAGGTAGTCCATCTCTCTCTCTTAGGGTCTGCAGGGAGGTCAGTCAATACATACAAACTGAGTGTTGTCTGCACGCAGATACCAGTGTCAGTGGAGGAAGCATATAGTTACATGTGGAAGCAGCAATCATTTATGTTAAAAGCATGGTTTTGAAATATCATGATGAAAGTTATTTGAAAAAATATCCCACGTTCATATTTTAAAAATCTTCAGCGTTACTATGAAGTTGAAACTTGTGCTTAGTTAAGAATAATAGTTAAAATGCAGTAAGTACTTATGTCCTGGATACTGTCTTAAATACTTATTATATGATCTGATTTAACCCTCACACCAACTCTCTAAGGTAGGTAATATTATCATCTCCATTTTTGCGTATGAGGAAACTGAGGTACATAGGGGTGGGTTGAATCACTTGCCCAAGGTCACACAGTGAGTGGAGAAGAAGTTAAACCTCGGCCCTGCGACGCCCCTCCCTCATAACCGCTATGCCTTACCACCAAGAATCAAGGCACCTGCCACAGAGATGTCTGCTCCGTCTGCAGCAATTCTATTCCAGGAACAGCAGGTACAATCTTGTGCGCTATATTTAAAATTGTATGCAGATTTCTGGAGGTGGAGAGAGAATGAGAGAGAAGTCTGAGAGAATCTTCATCCATATGGTGGGAGTATATAGTGTGATTTCAAGTTGTATTCACTTTCTTCTTTCTAACTTTCTATGTGGTTTCACTTTCTTTTTTAAAACCAGCGAACGGGCTCCGGCCCTGTGCCGAGTGGTTAAGAGTTGGTGGTGAAGTTCGCGCTCTCCGCTTTGGCGGCCTGGGTTTCGCCAGTTCGGATCCCAGGCGCGGACATAGCACCGCTCATCAGGCCGTGGTGAGGTGGCGTACCACATGCCACAACTAGAGGGACCCACAGCTAAAAATATACACCTCTGTACCTGGGGGGCTTTGAGGAGAAGAAGGAAAAATAAAATCTTTAAAAAAAAATAAACCTGTGAGCATACGTAGTTTTAAAATAACAATAAAGCTATGAAAATCAAGCTATTTGAATATTATTATCACTTAAAAGGGATCAGAGCCCTATATTGGGATTTTTTTGTGTAAAACACTAGATCTCAGTAGATTTGAAGAAACCATGGTTGTCCTGTGTCACTCTTGAGAAAATATTTTTCCAACCCCTTTTTTGCTGTACCTTCTCCCTGTATCTCGGGCACGCCAGCAGGTACAAGGTTGACAGAATGCAGCCCTTGTATGACACGCCACCCCCCTCTAGTACCTGACGTAAAGAAGACAAATATCCAGCACCTGAGCAAGCTAACGTGAAGGACTTCCGCTTTCAAAGTGCTGAAAAAGGAAGTGTGTTTTCTGTTTGTCTGTTTTCCAAAAACAATAATCAGTAGCGGGGGCAGCCAATTGTGCGGCGGTTAAGTTCAAACCTTCCGTTTGGGCAGCCCAGGATTCGCTGGTTCGGATCCCGGATGGAGACATGGCACTGCTTGGCAAAAGCCATGCTTTGGTAGGCGTCCCACATATAAAGTAGAGGAAGATGGACACGGATGTTAGCTCAGGGCCAGTCTTCCTCAGCAAAAAGAGAAGGATTGGCAGCAGATGTTGGCTCAGGGCTAATCTTCCTCAAAAAAAATATTTTTTTAATAAATAAATAATCAGTAGGAAGCCTGCTCTCTTAGATCAAAGATTTATGTCCTTAGAATCTGCTAGAGCATGAATTTGAGGATCAGTTGGCTTGCAATCAGAGGACGGCATAGCTGTACACATCCACACTCAAAATGTATAGCTTAGTTTCTTGACTACTTTTGCAAATCTATAGACTATGTCATCAAAGACATTTAAAGAAAGATTAGCCCTTCAGTTTCAAAATTTGGCACAGAATTATTTTCAGAATATATAAGATCAAATAGAGAATATTTAATAATTAGTATCCTTTATCCTTTATTGTATTCAATATTGAAGACATTTTGGCTAAATTCTGCACTAATTAATTTAATTATATTGTAAGTTAAGACAGAAAAGAACCAAGATATATTTAAGTTTGTCTATTGATTGGCCTGAAGGAGATTTGAGTCAAGAAAAACAAGAGAAAAATTGTTGCCTAAGATACCAGCATGGAGAGATTTGCTTCTATAGAAATGCTCCCACTTTCTCACTACCTGATGCACTCAGATGATCTCATTTTATGTTCAGATCGCTATTTAAATATATCTTAACAAAATATCTGAAAATGCAGTAGCACAATGTTAACTGTGTCTGATAGACCCAGATGAAGAGGTGGTACGTCGAAGGGATAAGAGCATTTAAAGAAACAGAAGCATCAGTTTTCACTATCAACATAGTCATATTAACTTAGCCAAATATTATGTAATTGCTGATGCACTTTTCAGATCAAGTGTTGTGTCAATATTAAAATATAAAACTGCTGCTGAGGAAGGTTTTACGGTAACAGTTGGGAATACTGGTTTGGAAGGCCTATAGCTTTCTTCAGAAACCATACAGGAGGGAAGAGAACCTACCGCATAAAGCTAAAGAATGAATCATCAATGCCACGCGTGTTCAGTATCTTAGCAATGAAATCGCTGAGCAACCCTTTCCAAGAGAACGTAAAGACAGAAGCACGCATGCTGCTTGGTGAGCTTATTTCTGATACTATGTAGTACTATCTTCTCTCTCAGGACCTTAGATTTCCTAAAGTGGGAACATATTTCCTTCAACCAGCAGCCTGTCAGTCTGGCGCTTTATAAGACAGAGAAATTTGATTAGAAGGTCCTTGGGGTAAGCTGAACTGATGAAGCTGGGGTGTTTTTCTTCCTAGGCAGGGGGCACTAGACCAGACCCTTTGGAAACATTCCCACGTAGACAGCTGTGCAGTGAGAGAGAAGGTCCAGGAGAGACTGAGATTCGAACTGGTGTGGAAGATATGGAGATGGCCCCCCACGCTCCCTCTTCAAGGCAAGACTTTCTGCCCAGCTGCAGGGAGAGCAGTCAGCCGACAGCCCTCTTCTGGTGGCTACTTCAAGGTCAGCCTCAGCTGCAGAGAGCTGCCTTACCCAAGACCACCCCTTCGCGGGTGGTCTAATGAATCTGGTGAAGAAATGGCAAGAGAGTAAAAAGGCAGGGCTGCAACGGCAGCCTAACGTGGGCGCCCTCACTGCAGAGCTCCCTGCTGGGTTGACTGAAGCCTGCAGTGCAGTTTGGCTTCCTCCTCTGTCCAATCCCGCTTTCTTCCTCGTGCTTTCATAGGGGTTGATCCCTTGAACCCCAAACTCTGTCTCAGCATTTACTGGTGGGGACCCAACCTCAGAAGATAGTGATCCACAGATGCAAAAAGAGGAGATGGCGGAGCACACACATTTTGGCCCATCATTCATGCTAGTCATTCCGTGGCTCTTCTTACCTTTCTTGCTTTTGTGTTGCTGAAGGCTGTGTTTTAATTCTGCCCACTTTTTCTCCTTCTGCGTATCAGAGTTCTACCAGGAAACAGATGGGTATTCCATTTTGAGGGATGGCACTCCTCAATGATTGAGGCGATTTTAATGGAGGACTATTCACAAAGGTGTGGGCAGAGTTAAGGGAAACCAACAAGGGATGTAACATCCCTAAGCATACATCCCTAAGCATGAAGGAACGGTGACCACTGCCTGGAGAGAACTCTAGGAGAGGGCTGCCCAACAGGAGCTTGAAGGCTTCAGTAAAGGAACTCAGTCAAGAAAACCTCACTCTTCTGCTTGCTGATCTCCTGATGGCACCTCCTGTTGACCAAATCCAGCCAGATGCCAGAGAATGAGAGAACCCTTTGAAGCAATCCTAAAGGTCTATGTTCCAGGGACACAGAGCAGAGTGGCAAAGAGTAGAGAGTGGATTGGGAGGAGCAAAAAGAGAACACCCCATACACTGTCATTGTTCCTTTACTAAGTGTTTTTGAATAATAGCATGCAACATCCTCCACATCCAAGATGGTATGCGTACGGTCCTTGCTGATCAGGGGACTGAATTGATTGGTCTCATCGATGGGTAAGAAAAGAATTTATTGTTTGTTGAACACCAGCTTCGTATCAGTGAGCTTAATATTTCATAAACAAATCTCATCGTCTAGGATAGTCATTATTTACTGAATGCACATGATGTGTCAGTCACTCTTCTAGGGCCTAGAGGTTCAGGAGTGAACAGGACAAAGTCCTTGCTCTCATGGACCTTGAATACTAACAAAGGGAGACAGGCAAGAGCAGGCAAACAAATAAATGAACGAGGCAACTGCAGGTAGTGATAAGTTATTACGCAGAGAAGTGTCTGCTTAGATAAAATTGTCAGGGATGGCACCTCTAAAGAGTGACATTTTACTTAAGACGGAGGAATAGGAAGGCAGAACATTCTAGGCAGAGGGAAGATTTAATGAGGAGGTCATACTTAACTGTCTGAAGCTTGATTACCAAAGATTTAAAGAAAAAATGAAGGAAGCATACTGGATGCATTCCAGTATGTCAGAAACAAGGGTTTAAGGTGGAAACTAACTGGGCGTGCATAACCGAGAAACACGAAGGCAGGTGGAGAGTGGTAGGAGATGTGGACAGAGGCTCAGTCATGCGGGACTTTGGGCTGTGGGGTGAGTGCCGGTTTTATTCTAAGTGCAATGGGAAGCCAGAGGAAGCTTTCAGGAAGGGAATGGCATTACTTGTGGCTTTATCATATAACTTCACTTTTTCGATTAGCTAACTCCTACTTATTCCTCAAGTCTCTTAGGTGAAATCACTTAATAAATACGTCACTCAATAACTTTTCTGAATGAAAGAATACATTTGTGAATGAATAAATGAATTGATTTCTTTTTATGAGCAAGATTCTTCATGCCTCATGACTAAATGAAATTCTGTTTTCAGCTGTGTAGCTCAACAGCTCTCTCATTTCAAAAAGAAAGTCGAGTAATCCTTTTGATTAATTTTCTCTTCTGTAAAAAATTTTGACAAAAAGAATTGGATCCCATATGTATCTTTGTCTTTGGGTTGCTATTACTAGCATCAGTAAAAGTCTAAATACCCAGCAAGCAAATCTATGAAAAGCCTTTTGATTCCCAGATTACTGTAAAGGATGCTTGACAAGTTGCTATATATGAGTAGGTTAATGAGCAGTAGTATAGAAATATTTAGTATTCCTACTAATTTCCAATCGTCAATATCCCAAATATCTTTAAGAACCCATATGGGTCAATTTTATATACTCTTACACCATCCCCTCCAAAATCATCCTCCTGCACTCCCTACTGCCATCCTCTCCCCATTTATGTACCTTTTCCTTCTTGCCTCTTTTGGTATCCACATCCCTAAGTACTTCACGCCCTCAAGCTTAAGGAAAAAATAAACTAACTTACCCCCAAATCAGGAACTCAATGTTTATGCCTCCCCCAAATAATTAGATTTTTTAAAGAGTTCATAGAACAAAATTTTTGCCTGGAAATGAATAGATAAATTTTTTTTTTAAGATTTTATTTTTTTTCCTTTTTCTCCCCAAAGCCCCCCAGTACATAGTTGTACATTCTTCGTTGTGGGTCCTTCTAGTTGTGCCATGTGGGATGCTGCCTCAGCGTGGTTTGATGAGCAGTGCCATGTCCGTGCCCAGGATTCGAACCAACGAAACACTGGGCCGCCTGCAGCAGAGCGCGTGGACTTAACCACTCGGCCACGGGGCCAGCCCCCTAGATAAATTTTTTAATAAGCATTATTTATTATTTATTTTATCCACTTGTTTCAAAGATGTGTAGAATAAAGGATCTGATGCCATTCTTTCCCTTATTTTTTTCTCTCCCTCTTCTTCCAGATTCTCTAGGCCATCAAAATAAATGCCCGTTCTGTCATTGGACGCATGCTAGAACTCAGCAACCTGCTTAACTTCTTGGAGCGTCAAGGTCTTTGTTCACAGAATGAGAGATTTGCACTAAACGACCTTCACAAGTCCTTCCAGCTCATTCTGTGGTTCTCTGAAAACTCACTGACTTCTGGAGTCAGAACATCAAATTGGACTTTGTGAAACTTCTGTTAACAAGGAGGCCACACTTGATTTCTAAAACTCAATTAGCACAGATTAAAAATAAATAAATAAAAGACTTATATGGCTGCATCCCACTATGTTAGATACAGGGGGGTTGGGATGAAAATACCAATAAACAGTAACATACAATAAAACATGCATTCATTCTCTTATTCAGCAACTAACTTTTGAGTGCTTGCTGTGCACCAGGCGCTGTGCTAAGCGTATGGAGCACATGGGGAATCAAGCAGACAATGCCCTTGCCCCTACAGAGATCGTCATCTATGATGGAAGACAAATAAGACAAGTAATTCAAGAATATGAAGGAGATATTTAGGATTGGTGACTAGGAATTCGTAATTAATTCATTGTGAAGCGAGGGAGAAGGAAAAGTCAAGAATGACTCTGGGGGCCGGCGTGGTGGCGCAGCGGTTAAGTGTGCACTTTCCGCTTGGGTGGCCCAGGGTTCGCCAGTTCAGATCCTGGGTGTGGATGTGGCACCGCTGGGCAAGCCATGCTGTGGTAGGCATCCCACATATAAAGTAGAGGATGATGGGCACAGATGTTAGCTCAGGGCCAGTCTTCCTCAGCAAAAAGAGGAGGATTGGCAGCAGATGTTAGCTCAGGGCTAATCTTCCTCAAAAAAAAAAAAATGACTCTGTTTCCTAGGTGGACACGGAGAGCGAGCGTGGTAGTGCCATTTACTGAGACAGGAGCACAGAGAGGAGTGGGTTTGGAGAGAGGCAGAGGAGGGTCATCAGTTTGGTTTAGGACGTGCTGAGTGAGTGAAAGCAAAGCAATGCAAATTATTTGCAGAAAAAAAATCAAAATTTGATGGTTTTGGGAAATTATTTGTAAGCCTGTTTTCAGAAGGTTTACTTTTATTTTGAAATCATTTTAGATCTTCAGAAAAGTTACAAATGTAGGGTTCCTGTATCCCCTTCACCCAGCTTCCCCTAATGTTAACTTCTTATATAACCATAACACAATGATCAAAAATTAAAAGTTAACATTAGGATGCTACATGAACTAAACTGCAGACTTTACTGTAATTTGCCTAGTTTTCCAGCTAATGTCCTTCTTCTGTTCAAAGATCAAATCCAGGATACCACACTGCATTTAGTTGTCACATCTCCTTAGTCTTCTATGACAATCTTCTGTGACAGTCTCTTATTCTTTCCTTGCCTTTCATGACCTTGACACTTTTGAATGTCCCTCACTTTGGGTTTGTCTGATGCCTTCTCGTGACCAGACCGAGGTTGTACATATTTGGGAAAGGATATCACGGAGCAGTGCGTCCTTCTCATCATAGCCCGTCAGTGGGTACACATGATACCAGTATGTCTCATTCCTGGCATTGATCGTCTTGATTACGTGGTTAAGATGTTGTCTGTCGGGTGTCTCCAGTGTAAAGTACCTGTCTTTCTCTTCATACTCGATTCATTTGAAGGATGTCAGTAAGTCCAGCCCTCTTTCAAGAGAGGGGCATTTAGCTTCAGCTCCTGGAGGAAGGCGTATCGAAGAACTCAACAGTTTTTAAGTTCTTCAACCTGGCTCATTATCTACAGTGTATTTACATATTTGTTCAACTCTAGTATACATGCAAAGTAATTTCAAAATTGATAACCCATACTGTGTGATAAATAAATTTACCAGAGTTAGATGTTTGTGTACAACTCTTTTTGTCTATAGCCTTACAGCATCTAATCAAAACACTTTGTTACAAAGTTATTTAGGCTAGCTCCTTTCTTCCCCATCTCTTTCAGTGTGGTTATGTCATACATTTGTAATACACTTAGATTTATTTGTCATAGCCTCCATTCCCTCTTGGGTTCCTCAGCCATCCAAGCTGATTTTTTAAGATTTGTGTACAGTAAAATTAACTCTAGGTGGCACACAGTTCAACGGGTTTTGACAAATACATTGTCATATACCCACTACCACTGTACCATGTAGAACGGGTCAAAGTCGTTTTAAAGTCAACATTTAAGCCAAAAACTTATTTTATCTGAATTACATGGAGAATTCTTAACTTTGCCAATTCTCTTCATGAGGCTTATTAATACTTTAGCAGAATAGAAAGATACTTAATATGTACGATCATTGAAAGAAAAATAAATATATTTTTTGATCTTTGCAAGATAAAACTCCAGTAAAGGTTACCTTTGAGCCTGTCTACCAGTTCAAAGTTGAGGATGCTTAAACAAATAGCTAACTTTTGTGACTTTTTTTCGTTAGTCAAAAATTGGATCAATTCCACCAATCTGACATTCAGTATACAAAAAGAAATGCAAAATAAAAATCAATTATCAGATTCATCAAATTTAATTAAAATACATTTGGAAACATAATAACTGATTTTTAAAATGTTGTTTCGCACAGAAATAATTTCCATGACCCATTCTGGTCTCAATACACTGCCAGGCAATTTTGTCTGCTTTTACATAACTATCCTCCAGCTTGGCTTGGCTCTTGATAAAGTGGTGGCAAAAGATGGCAGTGAGGAGGGAAGAGAGAAGCAACAGGAAGGTTAGAAAGGGAGAAAAAGCAGAAGCCTCCTTCTCTGCAACCTCAGATGAGGGCTGAGTGAGGCAAGGTGGGTGCAATCCGATTCTAGGCTTTGAATACTGGCCTCACCTCCCTGGGTTAGCCGCACAAATCAGAAGGTACTAGAGATGGAATGCATCCAGCAGGCAGTGCCCCAATTCAAGCACACTTATTTATTCTTCTCCTAAGCCTGTTATCTACAAGATAACACTCAATGACTCATCACACACAAGCCTACTGTCTAGTTTAAAAAACAACAACAAAAATACACTGTCTGACTAAGCTCAAGAAGCAGCATATGGTAGCATTTTAATTCAGCAATTAACAATGTGCTGCTGCTGATGAAGACAACAAGAAATCATTTGAGAAGGTGCTTTCTAAGGCTTTCCCACCAAGCAGAATTAATCCACTAAATCCACTACAATTATATTACTAAATACACCCACTTCTCAGCCTCGAGAGTAACGGTGACTTGAGCTCGCCATAGCTTCATAGAAGAGAGTCGCATAACAAATGCCTCAAGCATTTTGTGTTACTATCGCCATAGGCATTTAGTTCACATTTCCTCAAGACAAAATATTTTCCAACACTATTTACCATTCATGATATATATGAGTCTACATTTTTCATTACAACAAGATTTGATGTAACAACCTCCTTAAGTATATGTTTTCTCTAACAAGTGATATTTTACTTTACATGAAATTCAAAGGATCCAGGGCAATTTTTACTGACTTATAAAGCCTTTGTGGGGCAAATTTGCTAGTTAAGATTCCAGAAACATGTGGCATGATGTCATCCTGACTAGTCAGTCAGAGAAGCTCACAACTTGTGATTTTTTTCCTGGGTCACGTGGGATTACGTTTTGTTTATTTCTTTATCTCCTACAATGTGATGAAAGAGATATTGGGAATTCATCTTCACGAACCACACTATTTTGGAAGTTTCTGAAATTATCTGAATGTTGTCATTACTGTGGTTGGTTTAGGAATGACAAATTCCCTTTCTGGTTATAAATTTTTTAAGCATGATAATTATGTCCTTGTTCACGTCAACATTGCAGATCTCGACACCTCTGAAGGAGACTCCAAAGTATCAACTTTCCTGTTCTTAATAATGTTTTCATTCTACACAAGTCACCGCCCTGGACTAAGCAGTCTTCTCTAACTGGAGGAACATCTAATACTGACTCTCAGTTAACCTCATTAATAATGAGAATAATTGAATAATTGATATTTGGATTTGGAACATGTTATGAGATCCTGGGAATAATTGCTGTTACTTTTCTAGTAACATTTTTCTTAAACTTACATGAAAATGATTCTATATTTGATAGACCCTGAGGGTATGATGTTAAGCAAAATAAGCCAGACAGAGAAAGACGAACACATATGATTTCACTCATATGTGGAAGATAAACAAACACATGGACAAAGAGAACAGATTAGTGGTTACCAGGGGAAGGGGACTGGGGGGTGGGCATAAGGGGTAAAGGGGCACATACGTATGATGACTGACAAATAATGTACAACTGAAATTTCACTATCTGTAAACTTTTATGACCTCAATAAAATTTTAAAAGACTTTTTAATGATTTTATATTTCTCTGCACTTATATGAACTGATGGGAAAAAAAAAAACCCATCTTGAAGGTAATCTTGGGGGCAAAAAAAATTGGCTGGAATTTTAAATTTCCTGCAAATAACCATAAAAGTAAAAATTCACATTACAACCATTAGGTACTACAACTAAGCTTGACTGTGTTACAACTTCCAATATGTTTTCAAGATCTCGTGCCTGTGCCATCTTAAATATCTGATCCCCTAGGGCCTCAGGGCAGCCATTTTGCACCTGTCAGCATTAAAGGCCCTTGTGATTATTCTTCCTGAACTTTTAAGCATGTGCATTATTAGAAACAACACCTCGGGAGACCATGACATTGTACTAGTATAGCAATGAGGCATGTGATTCTGTGACTCAGCTGGACAAGACAAGGTACAGAGATAGCCCTCTTGGAGGAGTAGTGAATCACTCTACAGATGTCTTCTGTTTGATTATCCTTCTTCATGGACTTTATTCATCCTCTTACCTTCAGCCCACTTCCCCCTTCAAAAAGTACAACTTTGGCTTTGTGAAGTGCTGGTAGCCTTGACATGAATCTAGGATTCTGGACCAAATGTCACTTCTCACTATAGCTGGGGATAAAAATATAGAAAAGATTTTTTTTTTTTGAGGAAGATTAGCCCTGAGCCAACATCAGCTGCCAATCCTCCTCTTCTTATTTTTTTGCTGAGGAAGACTGGCCCTGAGCTAACATCCATGCCCATCTTCCTCTACTTTATATGTGGGACGCCTGCCACAGCATGGCTTGCCAAGTGGTACATAGGTCCACACCCGGGATCTGAACTGGCGAATCCAGGGCTGCCGAAGCGGAGCATGGAAGCTTAACTGCCGCGCTGCTGGGCCGGCCCAGGGAAGGTTTTCATTTGTGTGTTTATGAAGGATTTTTAAAAGAACAGCTCCACCAACTTGTTATAAGTACAAATGCTATATAGACTTTAAAAGCTTCAGTAATAAAATTAGCTTTGATCTATAATTAAAATTTCTG